CCCAATAATTGATAGGATTCCTGATGCCAAGGTTGTCCATGGATTTTATTTTGCTTGCTTTCAAAATAAACCTGTAAGGTTGCCACTGTTTGCCTCATTCCACATTGGCAGTTGAGGAACTAAGCTAAAGTGATTTATTAGTCCTTTTACTGACTGCTGATAACTAACCTGGAAATTTGTGATGTTACCAATGATTTGGGGAAAATTATGGAATGTTATTTCATTTTAATTAATCAGGAGAAGAAAAAAGATAATGTTTTGTATTAGACTTGAAAGTAATTTTCCCCATCATTTCCATAAGCGTTTTGTGGAAATGGGAATTCAAATGCCCATCAGATATTCTTTGGAACAAGGATATGATAGCTATAAACATGCATCCCACACCAGATAACATACTTTTCTCTCTCAGTTTTATTTTAATTTGCCCTGAATCATGATCACCCAAAGGAACGTCTTTATCATTATTTAAAATGCATGCCATTCACAGAGTATAAAACATCTGCAGTAAAAGTTTTGTAACCATAACTGTATAACTGGTTGCTGCATTTCTAGATGTGTTGTTCCAAACTTTACAAAGAACAGGCATCAGAAGATAATATTCTGGAATCAGGAGATCGGTTGCCTCAACTATAGTGTGGTGTTATGCGTATTCTAAAATAAGCAAGCTTTTGAAGGGGAAGTAAACCCCTATGGCTTTCCAGGAAAGCTCTGCCAAATTGGAAGTAATAACTCACTGTGCCTCTCCCTGTTCTGCACAAATGGATTTAAATTCTTTAAAGATATTTTGCAGAGCTAAAGCTACTGTTGAATGTTGCTTGACTCCTACAATAAAAATTTCCTGCCCAAAGGGAAAGAATTCTGTTGGATTCCCAACAATTAGGCAGATACTGGAACAATTTACCAATCCAAGAATGCTTAATCTACATTGTAATGTTTCATAACTACAATGTCCACAGAGTTCTATAGAAATTATTATATTGATAATATAGCCATAGTCCTAGAAACAACAACAAAAAATATATATATTTTTTTTGCCATTGGCACTCCACTGTTGTGTGCTTCTGGAAGGCTGCAACACCCAAGTAACTTTCAAAAGAAATGAAATGATAGCAATCCAAGACAAGGTGATAAAAATGAATTTGTTTTTTTGTGTTGTTTTTGGTTTTTTTGTCTTCTTCCTTTGCGCAGAAAACTCATGCTTAAGTCACAGTGAGATTAAATTTGTCCCACTTTTCAGAAGAAAGTGGTTAGAGTTGTAGAGGCCTCTGAAATCATGAAAGGTGGAAGGGAACAGTAGGCAAAGGAAAAGCTCCAGACAAACTGAACAGCAGCTTTGCACTGTAACTTAGGACCAAATGGCAATAGCTGGTTTCCATTACTGTAAAATGCCCTTTCCTCTTCTGGCCTACATACATCATCACCATTACTAAACTGCTTCAACAGAGCACTAGCTCCACTGGTTGTGTTAGGGTGTTGCCACATACTAAAATAAATGATCCTCTGCAACTGCAAGGTATGTGACACATATCTTACTCATATGGGGTGTTTGGAAATAGATTCCAGAAGCAATACATATATGGCTGTGTACAGAAAATATTTGGCTAAACTAAAAATTATTAACTTTCCTTCCATTATCATCAAAGCATACTACAATTTATTTGCATGGTGCTGAATCCTATACTTCTGAATTTTTCATAATTATACTGTGATATTTAGCATAAGGCCACTAAGGGCCTGATTTTCCCTTTGGAGAAGTTGAGGACTATAGATGTGCCGTATCTGCAAGAGCAATATTTGCAGGAGCAACCAACAATAGGCTTCTACACCATGTTATTTCTTTAAACACCTTTAACAATATTGTCACTGCATCAACAAAAGCCTAATCACTTTTGCAAATCCATGAAATTGGGCACATCATCACTGAATATCCCAGCTATATTGCTGTATGTGAGAATGCTGTCATTTCTGAGACAGTTCATGTCCTCACTTTTCCTTGAAATGTATGTGTCGTTTTACAACAAAGCATAATCCACAATCAAAAAACAAATTTCCCATGGCAGTATCAGCTTCATTTCCATCAACTAACACAAGAGGACATTTTTAAGATATCACAATTCAACAAAAATTCAGCATCATGAAGCTCCATTGAACTTAAAATATGATCGTTGCTTGAATATCTCTGGCATTAGTGAGGCTTCAGTTTTGGTGGGATTAAGTTCAGAATTATTTACTTCACCTCTTTTCCCCCCTTTTTTAAATATCACAGCAACATCAAGCAGGATGTTTTCTTTACTATTAAAATAACTTACTAAAGTGAAAGATTGCCATCTAGCGCTTTAGAGAATCTGTGATATGCTTACCTTGGAAGAGTCTGCTTCTCAAAATGCTATTTATTAACTCTATGTTTGTTATGTTGTAACTTGTATACAAGAAATATGTATGAAGCTAAAAACTAAAGTAGTAAGTTCAGCATTCTAATTTTTAATAGCATTTTTATATTCTACTGTTTATCTCCAATGACAGATGATGTACACTTTCCTTTTTTTTTTTACTTTCTCTAAAACAAACCCTTAAATATTAAGGATAAACCAAGAAATCTTGGATTCATATCTAGGGGTCTATGTATGTCTGTCTGTCTGTCTCTCCCACCGCCCCTTAGCTAAACTGTTTTCATCCTCATTTTCCTTCATTTGTTTGATCTTATCATTCTCTCACTTACAATCTTAGAACGGAATCAGAGCACCTGTTGCTTCAGCCAGTATGCTGAAAAGGGCATGGGCTGTAGTCTATACACCCAGTATAGCAGAATGTATATATAGTGATGAAAGTGTACTTATCAAATCCCATGCTTTGCAATTCATACCATTCTTTAGTTGAATTTAAGCAGCTTAACTTACTCTGAGAAGTTTTGTAATTTAATTTGGGAGAATGCCTAGACAGAATGCATTTTTCTTGAGATTATTTTAGAATAAGAAATATAGGGTTTGTAAGTATTCTGGGCTGCTCTGTCAAGTATTTAAAGCCATAATTTTTCTTTTTTAAAAAAAATAAAAATAGGAAATTGTACTTTAGTATCATGTTAAATCTTCATTTTTAGGGTTCTCAACAGGGCAAGACTCCTATACAGTTATTAATATAGATCACATGATGGCTTGCATGTTAGTTTGC